TGAACATTCTAGCTTACATGGTATTAAGTCCATAGGAGTTCATGCCATCCTAGGTTTCTATATTGAACATTCTAGCTTACATGGTATTAAGTCCAGAGGAGTTCATGCCATCCTAGGTTTCTATATTGAACATTCTAGCTTACATGGTATTAAGTCCATAGGAGTTCATACCATCCTAGGTTTCTATATTGAAGATTCTAGCTTACATGGTATTAAGTCCATAGGAGTTCATGCCATCCTAGGTTTCTATATTGAAGATTCTTATTCCGAGTTTTAAGAACAATATTAGTATATTGGATCATCGTTCAAGCCAAGTTGTTAAAATTAGCACAATGAGTTATAGAAGATCATTTTACACAATACTACACACGTCCTAACGTTTAAATAAACTGTTGTCACAGATATATGTCTCGCCTTTTTGTAATTTTGATAATGCAAATGTTGAAATTAAAATAGCAATACTTTCACATGTAAGTTATGCAAATATTCAAAGTTGATGAACCATGACTGAAGGTACATGGCTGAACAATCTCCATGGAAATGAGATGTGCCAATGTTAATACAACTGCATACCAAATACCATTGACTTATCATAAGTCGTTCCCTTTAAACAAACCTAAACACAAACATTAACTTGTAAACTATGTAAAAGTTTCAAAGTCAATGAACCATGATGAGGGGGTGGGGCTTTATAATCTCCATGGAAATAAGACTTGCAAATGCCAATAAATTTGCATACCAAATATCATTGACTTAACATAAGCAGATCCAATCACAAACTAATACATATAAACTAAGCAAATGTTTCAGTCAATAGACCATGACTGAGGGGGCAGGGTCAAATATTCTCCATGGAAATGAGATGTGCTAATGCTTATACAACTGAATACCAATTAACATTTGCCTACCATTAATGGTTCCCCTTGAACTGACCTAATCACAAACTAATACATGTAAACTAAGCAAAATTTTCAAAGTCAATAGACCATGACTAAGGGGGTGGAGCCAAATAATCTCCATGGAAATGAGATATGCCAATGCTTATACAACTGCATACCAAATATCATTGACCTACCACTAGTGGTTTCCCATAAACTGACCTAATCACAAACTAATACATGTAAACTTAAAGCAAAAGTTTCAAAGTCAATAGACCATGACTGAGGGGGCAGGACCTAATAATCTCCATGGAAACGAGATGTGCCAATGCTTATACAACTGTATACCAAATATCATTGACCTACCACTTGTGGTTCACCATAAACTAGACCTAATCACAAACTTATACATTCTTGACGACGCAAGGCAAGACAAAAATAAACGACTCCCTGAAGTCAGGAACATTCTCACTTGTCCTTTTGTTTCTAATATTTTAGTATTGCTAACTGGTCTTTGTTAATCTCTGTTGATTTCATTCAAAGCTGGTCAATACTAAGATTGATTAAGTAGTTGATATATGATATGGACACTTGTCTATTATTGGGGACAATGTTCTTCTTTGCTGTCTCATCTAGGGCCATCCATTATTCATATTAAAGCTACAATGCAACTGATGGTCTCCAATCACACCAGCTAAAAATTCATTATTGCAACAAAAAAATTGCAGCTAGAAATGAAATGAAAACAATAGTGAACACAATATTCGTCCTTTTGTCACACTAGAAATGAAATGAAAACAATAGTGAACACAATATTCGTCCTTTTGTCACACTAGAAATGATTTGAAAACAATAGTGAACACAATATTCGTCCTTTTGTCACACTAGAAATGAAATGAAAACAATAGTGAACACAATATTCGTCCTTTTGTCACACTAGAAATGAAATGAAAACAATAGTGAACACAATATTCGTCCTTTTGTCACACTAGAAATGAAATGAAAACAATAGTGAACACAATATTCGTCCTTTTGTCACACTAGAAATGATTTGAAAACAATAGTGAACACAATATTCGTCCTTTTGTCACACTAGAAATGAAATGAAAACAATAGTGAACACAATATTCGTCCTTTTGTCACACTAGAAATGAAATGAAAACAATAGTGAACACAATATTCGTCCTTTTGTCACACTAGAAATGAAATGAAAACAATAGTGAACACAATATTCGTCCTTTTGTCACACTAGAAATGATTTGAAAACAATAGTGAACACAATACTTGCACTTTGCAATGCAAAATTACTTATACCAAGATAATAAGATTGAAAAAAATCAAGGAAGACTTTTTCCCTCAAATCCTAATTTGTATACTGTCAAACACAAAAATTTATAATAACATTATTCTGCATGTGCAATTATTTAATTTATATATTGCAGCCAAACTGTCTGGAAATCAATATGAATAATAAAAGGAGACATAGTATATTGGAGTTGACAGCAATCCCATGACACAAATAAAAAATTAATTTACAAGCCAACATTCAGTTTTTAACAATAGACAAGAGTCTATCAAATAGGTCCATACATAAAATGCCCAGAGTCTAAAAAAGTTGTGAATATAATAAACAGCAACTACCAATATCTGCCATCAACAACAATGTACGACTACCACTTACATGGTTCAAAACTTGGGACAGGCACAGGAATTCATATTGGGGTAAAAATAGTGTTTTATTCATCTCTCTTAATAACAGTAACAGCATATGCTAAGGACAGGTTGGTATAATTATGTTGTTACTCCATGGTGTTTGAATAATTGAAATTTGATCAAGAAAAATGCTCCAAACGTTATATAATTGTCTTTATATCAAGAAATCGCTGAATTATTGAACAGAAATAAAATAACTGCAGGTCCCAATGACATAATAAATTTTGTAATGAGGAGCAATAACAAATAACCTCATCATTCATCAAATCTCTAATGAACATTAATGTTTTCAAAATGTGAGAAACTTCAAACCTTTTATAACTTTGGTAAACTACTGCGGACTCTTTAATTATAGACCTACACTACTACTGACATAATAGTGAAAATGGATCTTGTTATATCACATGTGATTAGTAAGATTTAATCAGTTGTATAACTGTGACATGGTATATACATGTTGGTGCAGATTAGTAGTATAACAAAGTGCACATGCTTGAAATGTCTCACCTGCTTTACTGATTATAATTGTATTTTATATTGAAAGTCTTTGAAAAGAATGGTGTAATACTTCAGGGATCAGATAAACTTAAAATTATCCATGAAAATGACATCAATGTTAGAGGTTGCACTTCTGTAGACATATACAATGCAATTTCCTATAGGAACTGACCTATTAAGGCTAAAACTGAGCCACTTTTTTACTACGAAGTTTCGTAAAAAAAATATATCCGGGAATGGAAGTTCATATGCACTACTGTTTTTGCAAAGGTCATAACATAGGGCTATTTTCAACATTTATATGCCTACAACTTCTAAGAGTTTAAACTTAAACTAAACTTCAGTACTACCCCTCCTACTTTGAGGTTTCATGAGAATTCAATTTAACCACTATCCACCTGTATTTACACTGGTAAAATTCCCAAGTTGTTTTGAGAAGAAACACGAAGATCATATCTGGGAACCAGTAGGTTAAACATAACAAAATATATATGAATATAAAGTATCTCCCCAAAAAGAGGTGTGGTTTATGAATCAGCTGTATTTACAAAGTGCAACTTAAACAATCCTGTCAGAAGGACATTTACACCTAAGAACAATGATTGTATCAGGTTACTTCATTTAGTATATAATGTAGTTCACTTATTACCTATAAAGTATCTGAGAAACTGACCTTATCACTAGGATTAAACCCATGAATGACGTCATTGTAAGGTGAACCCTGTCTGACAGACATGTATTTATATCTTGCAATAATTCTCATTTATAATATATATACCAAATACCCGGGACCAAATATAGTTGTCCAAAGACAACAACTGATTTAAAGATTTGTTACAAAAATCTGGAAATGTTGAAGTAAAGCCAAAGGAACCTCAAATGTTCACTTTCTATCAAAAAATATTTTATAAGTGACTGACTTATTGATAACAATAGCAAGATTCATTATTCTAAATAGAATGCTTGCTATCCAGAAGACTATGTCAACTGTGCAGCATATATGAAAACACACTGTTCCCATCCAAAGTAAAATGTTCAGGCTGGTTCACTCATTGTCATCTCTTTGTCTTTTGCAACGTCTGATTGTTTGTATTATCTGACAAAAAATGCGACAAAGTTTCATTGTGTGACAGACAACAAATGATAGGACAGAACTAAACCAGTGTGCTCCCAGAAAGGGGGGGGATTTGGTTGATTATTTAGGGAATCACTGAAGCATGACTGGAGGGGGCCTCCTCTTATGGCAGTCAGTAGGCCTCCCTTTATAAAAATTTCTGGATCCGCCACTGACCCCCCTCCTTCGAAGCAGGGGTATTACTATAGCACAAAGTGTATGATGAGTAATATTCAATTGAAATTTGCTGATTTGAGGGACTGAAAATGTAGGGATATTATCCCTGGCTTCTTATATCATGCAGTCCATAGTTCTATATATACATTTTGTATATACATGAAAACATTTGTATCACAATGACACTTCAATGCCTAATTAGTAAGAAATCTTAAATATGAACACTTAAAATGTAAGTTTCATCCAGAAGAAAAGAATACTCACAAATGGTTTGAAAACATATAATAATAAGAAACTCATACATTATTAAGTAAAAGGGTGGAACATGATAAAATGTAAAACAATTAAAACAAGAAAACCAACAACCTCATTTTATGACCTGCGACCTCATTTTATGTACTGCGGTACAAAACAATAAACAAAGAAATAAATATGATGGACAACGACCAAGGAAAACTACTGAATTATAGGCTCCTGTAATTCAAGTTTATTTCAATGGTTGAGATAAAATATGTGAGAAATGGGTATTAAATCAGGCATACTCATCCATATCTATTGGTTGAACTATCACAATTATTATGTATAAACTAATTGCTTTGTAATATTAGCGGGATACATACCTTCACATTTAAGTCCCTGGTGTAGAAGGCCATATAACAATGAACCACAATGATCACAAAATGTTGGACTGCCATAGCTGTGTACTTTAAATCGGTGTAAATTTGTTGCCTGCAACAATAGAAAAACAATGTAAAGTACAAAAACCTAACTATTACAATATATATACAGCTTGGCTTTTTTACATTTTGAAATATGTAGATATGTTTCCTGAAATTGCAGAACAATCAATTTCCAATATATTAAATAAGCTGTAGCACTGCTCATAAATATTGTCTTCCAGCTTCAGTTGGTAGGTGAATGAGGAAATTCATTTGAAGATATCATGCTGATAAAAAGATGCAGAATGGTGTTAAGTCACTATGATTCCCTGAACATTTTATTAAAATCCATCCTTGGGTTCAAGTACAGTGCACATGGTGGATGGAGGATACCTTACCCAAATAGGTGATATTTTTTTTCGACACTTAAAGTGAAAGAAATAAACAAGAATACTGGTTAATATATTTACCATGAGTAACCAAGAACAAACAATTTACTGCAAAAAAAATCTAACATTTATCAGATGGTAGGAGGTGATTAGAATCAAATTGTATTTTAATTTTGGCTTTGTTTATTAATGCCCTATTGCTTATACACTCAATTCTAGCAGTGATTATCAGATTATTTTTATTCCTTGTATGGTTAATCTTGTCTCTTGACTTTTGAATAAAACACGAATAAGTTTCTTATTCAACCGTTATGAAATTAACCTGGTTGGTGTAGGCAAAGATCTAAATTTTCATAATTTTTTTTTTCATTTTCCCCCACATGACCATGTCTTCTTTCATTCATATTTATTTTTTGTTTTGTTTTTAAATTAAAAGGCAATTAGTTTTCTTTAAATTTTAGGCAATTTGTTTTTCAAACTCCACGACCTTCTTGATTGGCATAGTAAGGAAGATGCTTATTAACTTATAATTATTTTTGCTTTGCAATTTTCTAAATATTAATTAACAAAAAGAGAAGGTTCTATCAATATATTAGCATGTACGAACTTTCTAAAGCTCTTGAATTCCTTCGTAAAATTAATAAAACTGTCTTGATTAATTCAATTTGATACAGAAAACTGGGAAATATTGAGTAACAATAACCACAATAGGAATAATTTGCATGATGTCTGCCATCAAAATTCTCCATGGTATATACATATGGTGATTTATTCAATTATCAAACTTTTTTATCTAGACATAGCTTCTATACCAACTTCAGACTTTATTTGCTTCCAATATTGCTCATTGAATCACTACCTTCAAATCTCTCATGAACCTATCAACTTGAATATTTATCAAAATAAACACCCAGCCTATTTTTACTGCTTCTGATTGTGTTAAGCAACACATTGCAACATATCAGAGTACTTTACAACTTGTTAACTACTAGATCTCAAAAATATTTTCTGTTCTCTAGTCTCTAATGAAAAATACAGACATCTACCGTGGAATGAAACACATAAAACAGTGTCCGTTAGGACAAACATCTGATCAAATTGTACTTGTAAAACTGGTATAGGAAGGGTACTTTAAGATCATGAAGTGAATGTGTGGTAGACAAGTGCCTACAGATTGATTAAAGAAAAACAAAACAGGAAAATATATCTTTTAAATGTACTAAAACTAAAGTCGAGTTATAAGAAAACATAAACTGCATAAAATTATAGATATGCTTTGTCATTTTGGAAAATTAAGACTTTTTTCCCTGAAATAATTATGTAAGCTAGTCAATAGTATGTAAAAGTTGTACATAGAACAATTGTTCTTTTGTGAATTTCTCCTTTAACAAACAAATTCACAGTAACACCAATCTACATCTCACTGAAAGTTCAAGACAGTTCCAAGAACTCTTTTGAGTGGAATTCTATGCTAGAAGATAATAACACTACATAAGTGTTATCCTGTTCTTTTTTAATTAATTTACTCTAGTCCATTTAAGGGAAATTAAAAACTAAAAATAAAGTTAAATATTATAAATCTCTAGTAAAAACAATCCATGGACTTAAGTTTAGACTTCAGCGGCTCTTTTCACAAAAAATCTTAAGAGTAAAAATACTCGTAAGTCAAACACATTTCAGTATAACTTACGATTAAAATGATCAATTTTAATCGTAAGATTTTTTGTGAAAAGAGTCGCTGCTTCTTTTATTGATCCATTATAATTAGAGGAAAGGAAAAAGTTTGATAGACTAATAATTTGTGTTTCACCAATCATTCATGATGGACAGCCTGACCAATCATTCAGGATGGACAGTCAGACAGGACATGATCACACTTCACAAATAAAAAATATAATCTTTGTGTAATTAAACAGGCAGCTGAGAAAAGAAAGATTAATTTTACAGGTCCTTTGGAATTTGATTAGAAGAAGAAAAATTATTTTCTTTGTGCTACACTGATGTAAAATCAATATAGTGGTTTCTCAAGGGATGTCATGTGAAAAGCTTTTATCCTACCTAAACTCAATGATCACAAACCCTTACTTACAGACAGGTAAAAAGTGCAGAGTAATTTGCATTTTCTGTTACAATGATGTGAACTTTTGGCTTGCTTTGATTGTTTTTTAACAGCAGTTTTAAAAGTGGTCTTTGTTGCTTAAAAAAACTCAAAGTCAAACAATAGCATAACCATTTCAATTGAAAGATTTTTTAGTATATTTGCTATCAAAAGTAACAATCTTTCAGCTATAGCTTTCTTTAAAACAAAACAAAATCCATCTTTAATTGAAGTTATTTCTTTGTCTTTATGAGTTGAACTTGACAGTATAAAAAAACTTCAAAGGCCTGTACTTGAAGGTAAGTATACTAGTTGCTGTATATATAAAAAAATCCTTTTAATGTTTTGTACATAAAACAGGCCATTAGTTTTCATATGAATAGTGAATCATTTGTCATGTATACGGTAGCTTGCTATGCATAATGGGTTTTGCTCATTGTTGACAACAGTACAGTGACCAATAGTTGCTGAATGTCCCTTTGGTATCTTTTGCCTTCTCTTCTACATCATTTGGTCTCTGGTGGAGAGTTGTCTCATTGGCAATAATACTACATCTTCTTACCTACTTTATGTTGATCTGGGAAGAGGGTGGGGGTAGGTGTGTTTGGCAATATAACCACTGACTGATGCACGAGGAAGAGGGTGGGGGTAGGTGTGTTGAGCAATGTAACCACTGACTAATGCACAGGGAAGAGGGTGGGTGGTAGGTGTGTTGAGCAATGTAACCACTGACTGATGCACAAGGAAGAGGGTGGGGGTAGGTGTGTTGAGCAATGTAACCACTGACTAATGCACAGGGAAGAGGGTCGGGCAGGTGTGTTGAGCAATGTAACAACTGACTAATGCACAGGGAAGACGGTCGGGCAGGTGTGTTGGGCAATATAACCACTGACTAATGCACAGGGAAGAGGGTCGGTCAGGTGTGTTGAGCAATGTAACAACTGACTAATGCACAGGGAAGAGGGTCGGGCAGGTGTGTTGGGCAATATAACCACTGACTAATGCACAGGGAAGAGGGTGGGGGTAGGTGTGTTGGGCAATGTAACCACTGACTAATGCACAGGGAAGAGGGTCGGGCAGACGGTGTGCTGGGCAAGTAACCACTGACTTATTGTAGCAATAGGCTTGATCTATTCTGCAACAACTCATTGTTTGAGTACACTTCTGATAGACAAAGTAAATATAGACATGAGATATATGCAGCATGCCTATTTAATACATATTTATAATTGCTCTAAGTGAGGTTACCACCTGTATTTAAAACAAATAATAGCTAACATTAAATAAAATGAAAACTGATTTGGTGAGAAAATGTTAGCAGGCTTTGTAAATGTCCTCTAGATCTAATGACATTGGCCAGTTGAAGGGTGTGTACTGTCCTCGGTCATCCCAATGTCTGATAATGAGAATTCTAATCAGATGGCCCACACGGTTGATTTGTAATTTAAGCTGAACCTAAATATCAACTCCACAGAGTATATCAATAAACATATTGATTCATATAAGGTAAATAAAGACTATAACAACATATGTCCATTTTGTATTTTTTTGTTCACTCTCTCCTCTACCTTTACCCAAAATATTATCTTTATTTTTTTATGAAAAGAACTTCTTCACGAAGAACTTGGTTTTCTCCCAGAAGAAAATTCTTTCAATATATCCTATTCCTAATACACTAACATGTTCAAGCCTTAAATATGCATTTATTTGCTACTGGAGATTAAACACCCATCAAGCATGTCATCATTGCATTTAGGGTTCTGTATAAGTTAGTATTAAAAAGGCATTATTAAAGTCCATGGATTGGTTCATTTAAATGTTTTATTACAAGTCATATTTTATTTTATTTCACCATCTTGTTGATGAAGCAAATAAGATGTTGTGGTAAAATAATTTCACTCCAAGCACTTATATCTTAAATGTCAAGTGGAAGTATTTTAAGATCAGATATAATTTTAGATGCTTTGTGGAAAATTTAATATCATTTGCACTAAGTTGATTCAGAAAACTCAAATAGGCTTTCTAATTGCATTTAATCTTCTTTAAAGGTGATATGTTTTAATTTTCTAAATTCTGATACAGACAATTTAGATATTTATAGGACTCCCAAGGGTATGCAAATGCCATGTGTAGGAGGCAATACATATGTAAAATATATTACAATGTTATTGACAATGTTTTATAATGCCTTTAATGCATATTTGATGTGTTTGGTAAACAATACTTTGTTTCCCTTAGGTATCTTTTGAACTTGACAAACAACCAGGTATTATTTAATTTTGAAATATTTTATGAATGTTTGAATTTGGGTACTGACTCTGTCAACATTTTTAAAAGTTAGTTTTGTCAAATTAATTTTAGCTATGGAATGGGAAAAGAAAATCAGATGACATTTTGTAAAATGTGCAGAAAATTTATATTATTATACTTCAAGTTAAAATGCCAGATTTTGATTGGTTAATACGATGGAGACTATTTACTCTATCCCATGGCAAATACTCTATTACCCTTCACAGAGATGCTTGATCAAGTCTGCGCTTTAATCAATACGGATGATTATATTATGTACGAGAGACATCATAA